CTCCAAGGCTAAACCAAACCCAAAGAATCAACCAAATTGATAAGGTTGTGAACATAATCGCAATTCAGTACTATTCTAAGCAGCATTAGGTCTTATGATAAATAGATAGTTTTAAGATCCTTTTATTGTTTTCCTTGCCTGTAATTTTATCTGACACTCTATGAAGTATCCTGCTTGAGATATTTAAAAAGAGAAGGCTAACATTTGCCTCAACTCATATCATAAACAAATATTACAAATAAGTATTGCATGCCTTTGATGGTGCTCTGCACTTACTTAAATATTGTTTGAAAAACTGAAATTTTGTTCAGCTAATAGGAGTGCGAGACACCTATTTTTCTGAAAGTCTTGCGCAGGACCATAATTCATGGAAACAAGATGTGTCTCACATAAATAAAGTCTAAACTGTATTTTCTCACAAATAAACTATGTTTGTCTTGCTATTTTTGTGAACAAAATCAAACTACTCTGCAAGTCTGTCTCTCACTGGCATACCAACTGCTTCAGTGGAATTAATTCCCCTGGGTGCCTTTATCAGATTTGTTCACTTTGTTCCTGAACATGAAGTTCAGTTCAAAACAACAGAAACAGAGGAGGAGCTCTTCTTTGGTTTTGGAGTAAGTGGCTAGGAAATGATTTGTTGCCACAGGCATGTGAAGTTCTGTGGGCCCTTCCAAATGAAGCGTGGATTGTAGCGTGCCTGTGATTTTTCAAGGGACTGGATTTTTCTTCCAGGCTTATTAGCTTCAGGTAAGATCCAAGATTAACTCATTTCTCCTAAAGCTAAGGTACAGCTCTGCCTTCCAAACACTTGTAATTTAAAGCTGGGCAGATGAAGGGAAGTCCCAAAATCTGAGAAAAGTGTTTGCTATTATTCATTAATAAATCAGAGTAGAGTTTCGAGAGTGACTTCAATACAACACAATGAAGGCTGCACAAACCATGGCTTAAAGAATCTGTTCAAAGAGCAACATAAGGAAATGTGGAGACATTAGTATGTGAAACAGAAAAACTTATTTGCTTGGAGACTGCACAGCACCTAAAATTCAAGCCAAATTAACAGCCAATTAGGAGATAACATATGGAGATTTACCCATCTGCTGACATGCAACAAATGCTGGCAGACTTAAAAATTAAAATCTCCCTAGAAACTTTTTTATTCAAGAATATTTTGTGCTTTTCCTGACTCTGCCTCCCCGGAAAGGAAATATGTTCAAAAGAATGTTAGTTCAAACTAAAAAAAGAAAAAGTTTTTGTATGTGTCTTTCGAATTTTATATTGACTCTTGTATAACCCTTAGGGTCAGCTTAAGATCTAATATTGCGATACAGATTTCAGCTGTATTGCAAATGCATAGGATCTGCATTTCTTACAGATTTACACAGAGAAAATGGCAAGTTCTGTTGTCATGAACACATTAAAAATAGAGAACAACAGATAGTTCTCATAATGTACACCCTTGCTATCTCTGTGCTTTATCTTAGATCCCTGTATGTAGCAGCTTTTTCCCAATCTTTCTAGCTGTCTGGGTATTAGACATAAAATCTAACAGTAACAGCCATCAAGTTTCTACCACCAGTTTAAGGACGTAACCTCAAACGGTAAGTTTACGTGTTGCTCAGGCATCACGACATGAACAAATGCTTAGGGATGTTGTTCTGAGCGTATCCACAGATGAGACCAGGTAGGCTACAAAAAATAGGCCGTTAATTCCTGGTAACATCAGGTGGGAACCAGTTCCAGACAGTGCTTGGATCTCATGGCAATCTGAGATCCAACCTCAGTAACTGCAGAAATACTTTCAAGTCAAAGAAAACAACATGGGATAAAACCTGACAAAAATTTGCTGCCTAAGCCTTGACTCCTTGTTTTAACAAGTTAGATGGAAAAAAAAAAGATCTCACTTGGCCATAACCTACATAACCATGGCTGCTCTGTGTTTTGCAGGTAAACGGTGGCTGGAGGCTTGGGGATGGTGCTGGGAAAGACTGTGGGACAGGCTGGGAAGGAGTGGACTGAGGCTGGGTTACTGGAGAACAGTTTGCTGTAGGGTCAAGAGGAAGAGGACCAAAGATGTGCTTGTAGGATAGATTTTGTACCTTAGGTTCTTGCCTTAGGTGCCTTTAGGGTCTTAGGTTGAGGGTGAGGCTGAGGCACGGGCAATGAAAAGGAGGGAGCAAGCCCAGCTGTGGCCCACAGAGGCTGTCCGAGGGCTCCTGGTGTAGGTCTGGGACCATGGCAGCAGAGTCCCGCCACTCCCAGCCCTTTCCAGAGCCTGCAACAGAGGCAGGGCAGTGGGGAAACCCATAAGACAGACTGGATGTCTGGGATGACGGTGGGAATGGTGCCTTGTCCAACGCCCTTGCCGCTGCCCACTCTCCCTGGGAGTCAGGCTTCGTGGCAAGGTGGGAGCCCAGGTCCTGGTAGGAAAGCAGAGTGCTGGCAGCGCAGGGGTGAGAGGTGGGCTCTGGCTCCCAGGGTCTGTGAGCGACTGTTCCCCCTCCGCTTTCCCCCGGGCCTGAGGATGTTGCGAGGAAGGTTGGAGTCAGCCAGTTCTTGAGACTCTTGTGTGGGTGAGAGCAGTCAGATGAGGGCTGAGGGCAGCCAGGTCCAAGTTGTCCTGTTTTCTCCAGGCCAAGCCACACTTACCTCGGGACTACCCTGAGCTGCCACATGCTGGTGTGGTGGAAAAAAGTAGCAGCCGCAGCCAGTTCTTGAGACTCTTGTGTGGGTGAGAGCAGTCAGATGAGGGCTGAGGGCAGCCAGGTCCAAGTTGTCCTGTTTTCTCCAGGCCAAGCCACACTTACCTCGGGACTACCCTGAGCTGCCACATGCTGGTGTGGTGGAAAAAAGTAGCAGCCGGTGGCCCCATCTGGGGCCAGCTGTAGCCATGGCCATGTCCACTCCCCGC